CCAAATAAAGAACAAGATTAAGCTCAAGAAAAAGGAAGAAGAAGAAAAATAATAAGAGATTATGCTCCGAGATCTTTGACCACCAAACCACAATCGCTCGGCCATATGTCTAGTTAAATCTTTCATTATCATTTTCTTAATTATCATATTGTTTAGTGTCATAACGAAATTTATCGATGTGTAAACTATATACTGTTGGCAACTTAGTATTGAGGAAGTGTCGTGTCTCGTCAGCCATATAGATCGTACATTTGGCAACTTTGTACTTCATAGGTTTTTTTTCTTTCGCAAATGGTACTATTTTATATACATTCTTTTTCCCCCCTCCTGAATAATCATTTTATTGCCAAGCTTTTTTTGAGTGGATATAGAAAACTCTGTTGCCGAACCCCATCGAACTCTAAATATCCTTGAAGTTTCTCCATTTGGATTGAAATTCGATTTGAACTGAAAGTAAAGTTTTTTTTTTATTGAGTTCTGAAATGACACATAGTGCGATACAGTCAAAACAAGGTATTATATTACGAAAGCAATAGATACCTCATAAACAGGTAGACTGCTAACCGGATTCTCTATCTTTGATAGGTTTCTGTTCGTTATATTTTGGTTATATTATAGAATAACAAAACAAAATGATTCGAAATCCTTTATTTTTTTAACCTAATCGCTCTTTTGATTTTGGAAATATATATTTTTATCAATATACTGCTTCTTTTACACATCCATCTCCAACCTAACCCAAAGGGACTAGGGAAAAAATAATTAGGACTCATGAAAAAATTGATAATAACACCCAAGAAAAAAATTCCTTCCCATACCCGTATTAGGCACTAATCTATTTTTAACATTTAATTAGATCGGGTAATTTTTCAAATTACGAATGGAAGCTCGTTTCTTTTTTTTTTTCCTAGAATAAGGAAAACTGGTTTTTTTATCCATCCATTTATATTTATTCACTCGACCCAAATTGGAATTCCTTTTTTTGTCAACACCGAAAAAAAGGTTGTACTGATCAGGAAAGTCAAAAACTGTTATGTTATCTGAATTCTCCCTTGATACGACATGCTATTTTTTCCATTCATTCCTTTCAGGATCAGTCGTGGTCTTACAAACTCTACCGCAGATCTGGACGAATCCTTTTCTTCATACAAATGTGTAAAAGATGCTAGTCGCACTTAAAAGCCGAGTACTCTACCGTTGAGTTAGCAACCCCCCCCCCAAAAAAAAAAAGAAAGTACTGCAAATATGTAGATACAACCAGAAAAAAAAAAATCCAGTCATGTGTGCGTCAGGGAGAAATAGATCCATTTCTCTATGAGAGAATTATATTTGGTCGATACACTGTTGTCAATATGATTGTGAATTTTTCATATAGCGAAAAGAGTAAAAAAAAAAAAAGAAATAAGTTTACCCCCTTGGTTTGTTAGTTCATACAATGACTGAAAACTAAGCCAGGTAGGGTAATCTTAAATCTTTTTATATTTTTTTTAACCAATTTTGTATGAATAAATTATTCATATAAAATATATTTAATATATATATATATTTTTTTTTCTTAATTAATATATTATTTTATATTTATATACAGTTACAGTATTTTTTTTATTTATCCATACATTAGCATTTGAATTTCTATAGATCCAAAATTCTTTTAATAAATTTGTTTATGATTATAAAACATAGTAGTTCTTGGCAGGGTATTTTTTAGTATTCGTACCTTAATGAAGAATACTCTTAATAAATCGAAATTCTAATAAATAGAAAAATATCATGGAAGCAAAAGAGGAGAAAACAAAAGAGTAGATAAAATTTGATACCAAGCTCAAGCTATATACGAATCTTTCACACCCTCTTTTTTATATTTCATTAATTCAATTTCGTTTTTATTAAGACTTAATTCCGTAAAAACCCGTTCCTTTTTTGAAATATCATGAACTGTTCTTGTTGCTTGAGCGCCTTTTTTTAGGAAATCGAGAATAGCAGGAAGATTTAAATAAGTTTGATTAGTTATCGGATCATAAAAACCCACTTTCCAAAGATCTCTTCCTTCTCTTCGGGATCGAACATCAATTGCAACGATTCGATAAACGGCTCATTGGGATAGATGTATATGAATAATACCCCTCCCTAGAAACGTATTAAGAGGCTTTGGCCTCGTACGGCTCGAGAAAAAATGAAATGAGTAGAAGTTAGCTTTCTGTATAAAATTCAAATATTAAATAGATTAATAAAAACCTTAAATATTTTTTTCCATAAAAAGGATTCGTAACATTCGTACTCTCGTAACTCAAGTTAAATAACTCTCAAATATCTCAACCAAGAATGCTGAAGTACTCTTTTTATTGAGTAGTCTCTATTGTTCAAACAATTGAAAACCAGATTTCCTTGTTTAAGGATTCTTTATCCTTACTTTGAATCTTTGGGTTTAGACATGACTTCGGCGATCTTGAATCGTTTTATTAAAAAAGGGCAGCAACAAAGCCCCTTATTTTTTTGTATGATTTCTTTTCTTTCTATCAAAAAATCATACAAACGCTTGATTCACGCATGATAGACGTTTGATTCAAAGAATTTGACAATTTGAAGAAAATTTTCTTTTCCCCCTTTTCCATTGTAAAATTACTTGAAGGGCTTTTTTTTTTTTTTCAATATAAAAATAAAAAGACTTACGAAGCTGTTCCAACTTAATTGATTCGCACTAACCCTAGATCCTTACTCCTGCGAAAGGAAAAAACTTTCTATTTTCCTCCAGCTCCATCCTGTACTCTAGTAAATAAAATAGAACACAAAATGTCGAGCCAAGAGCACCTATATTCCTATATAAAAAGTGGCGGATCAAAAAATCCACAGCAAATAATGTCCTTCAATTCAAGTCGCACATTGTTTTCTACCACTTAGAATCTACGGTTATACCTTACTTACCCGCATCACACAAAAATAAAAAAGCAAATCTATTTTTTTGAATTAATGAAAAATAAGTGGATTCTTCGTTTCGTTTCAATAGTTTATTCTTAAAAAAAATTGGATTTTTAAATAGAAAGAGAAAGGTGGTGTACAAAGGCAATAGAAGATTGATTCCGTAATGACCGTACTCTGGGACGGAAGGATTCGAACCTCCGAATAGCGGGACCAAAACCCGTTGCCTTACCGCTTGGCTACGCCCCATTTCGATTTTTATTCAAGACTACTAAAAGAGTAATATTGCTATTGGTTGTTCGTCAATTCAATTTCAGCCCGAATTAAATATAGATTACATTGGTGCTAGAGTTTTTACGCGTGTAGATAGCAAATCAAACTTACTTTATTGATCATTACATAGAATTCAATTAAGATATTGTATGAAAATATTATTTCTTTCATTCTCATAAGAGAATGAAAGAATTTTTGATTGAGTAAGTTCAACAAAGTCTTTTTAGACTATCTTTCTTTATTTTTTTCCTTATATAAAAAATATATTAATAACTCAATCAAAATGAAATTATCCACAAGAACACCAAATTTTTTTATGCTTAATATATTTAATTTGATCTGTATTTGTTTGAATTCTGCCCTTTTTTCAAGCACTTTTTTAGTTGCCAAATTGCCGGAGGCCTACGCCTTTTTGAATCCAATCGTAGATGTTATGCCCGTAATACCTCTTTTCTTTCTTCTCTTAGCCTTTGTTTGGCAAGCAGCTGTAAGTTTTCGATGAAATTATTAATACTGTCTTAGAAAAATTCACAATTTTTATTCTTCCAACAATAGCTCAAAAAAATCTTGACGTATGAACGAACCCTGAATTCAAACCTGGATCATTCTATTTCTTCAATTTTATCCTCTTTTCCCTAAATGAAAGAATCTAATTAGATTCGAGTTCACCAAAAAAAGATCTAGATGTTGGTATGCAAATCTGTTTGAATATGAAAGACTCGACTATTATCACAAATGACTTTCTGAACCCCCCTTTTTTTTTTTTATTTTTTTCTAGAAAAAAATAAATCACTTGATTTATTGGTATCAAAATAAGATATTTGGTATAAAAATAGAGAATCTATTCTCTTTTTTTTTGAAAAAAAAAAAAAAGTAAGATCTTGGAGATTGTGTAATGCTTACTCTCAAACTTTTTGTATACACTGTAGTTATATTCTTTATTTCTCTCTTCATATTTGGATTCCTATCTAATGATCCAGGACGTTTTGTCTCGTCCCGTTTAGCCTCGTTCTGTTTTTTTTCGTCTCGTATTGTCCCATCCCATCATTTCTCGTATTAAACTATTAAAATCTATTTGATAAAACTAAAATTATTAAATTAGAATTTATTCAGATCAATATATAAACTATTTTCTTATACAAAATGATTTTTCAAATTCTATTATGATTAAGTGATAGATGTAATAAATTATTAGTTTTAACAGAGAATTGGAATAGTATTGTTTAAAAGAGAGTTTTCTGAGGTGACGCTCCCATAAAAGACCCGAACTGTGTTTTATATATATAGATTATTGTATTGTCAATGTTTTGACTCCTCTTGAAAACAAACGGTTTTGTCAATGTTTCCCCACCAATAATAATCATAGCAATAAGTCCAGACTCGTCTCACGTTACGTTGATTTGATGTTAATGTATCATGTATGGGGTCCGAGTTTATTCAATTAGATATCAATGTTTCCCCACAAAAGGTTTTGTCGGACTAAATTCTAAAAAAAAAAGATGTTAACTAGACTATAATTCATTTATGTAAAAGATATCATAAAATTATCTCTCACTCACGGGCGAAACAGGGGGATTGTAGTTGATTTAATTCAATTCCGATATGTTAAAACGTAACATAAAATGATAGGAGTATAATTTGACGCTGATTTAAAAGACTCCAAATGAGGTCAGCATATAGGTCAACTTTACACTTGACCTCTATGTCACACGTAAAAGACAGTCGAAGGCAAAGTCACCGACTACCAAACTATACAGTAATAACACTTTGTTTTTCTGCGCTCATCATCAAGATTCTTCTTCCTATTAATTTCAGACCTCATCGGAGAGTTTCGGACTGCAAGAATCCACTGCTTCAGCCACCGTCAGAAAGATTTTGTCGTGTCCCAACATGTCTGCGAAGTTAGACACGTGTAACTTATCGATGACCACCGGTCCAGGATTCGCTAGGACCAACTGTTTTTGCACACGACAAAGAGAGAAAAATATCAAATTTATAAACTTCTCTATAATATTTTCTGATATTTAAGCTTTGAATTACGGTGAGTACCTGAATGTCTCTCTTCTGGAGAGACTTGTATAAGTCTTCTAAGGCGTGTATACCGCTAGTATCAATGTCAGTAACAGCTGAAAAACATACAATAAAACATTATCGGCTTTATGAATCGATGCTCATAACACGCCTTGTGATATAATATATCTATGTCAAGAAGTAAATTTTTATAAAAATAGAAATAGAGTTGGTTTAGTACGTGACATTTCGATGATCACAAACTGGATCCTAGGTAAGCTCACAGCGTTCACCTTCTCTTCTTCATCTGTCAACCACCTTTGAATCCTACACATTTCAAGAACAAGACAATTTAAGGTTCTTGAAATAGATTTCTTGCAAAGCAAGTATTCGTTCAAACTTGCTTTCATGATTGGACTGGATTTCTTACCTTTCTCTAACGTAGTTGGAGTTGGAGAAGTAAATAGCGGAATCAACACGGATTGTCAAAACTCCGGGGATCCTAGTCGCTTCAGGATACTGATGAATATTCCGGTAAACCGAAGTCCCAGGAATCTTTCCAAGAATCGCTGTCCTAGGTCTTGTAACTTGCAAGAGTATCTTAGCAAAAGATATGCCCACCTATAAAAACATCCACACAAAACATGATCAACGAAGAAAGTATCAACTTAAATATCGTAATCCACATATATATATATATATTATTGTTCCTTGAGACGTACGGCAATGAGAAGACCGATCTCAACGGACACAAAGATGACACCAAAGAAAGCTCCCATACAAGCAACAAAATCGAGCTTGTCGATCTTGAAAATCAAAACGGCGGCGTTAACGTCGATCAAAGGAATCACGGCGTTGATGATGATCGCTGCAAGAATCGCGTTTGGTGTGTATTTGAAAAGAGGAGTGAGGAAGAGAAGCGTCAAGAGGACAACGACGGACATTATGATGTTGGAGACCGCAGTGTGACATCCGGCCATGAAGTTAACGGCGGATCTTGAGAACGACCCGGTGGCTACATAGCAAGAAGTCATTGAGCCGATCACGTTCATTGCTCCTAATGCAACCATCTCCTTGTTACCGTCTATTTGGTAGTCTTTCATTGCTGCAAATGTTCTTCCGATCGCTACAGCTTCCTGTTAAACAAATCATGTTTTTTTAAGGTTCAAATGAGAATCAATCATAAGGAAGATTTGTCTTTGCTACGTTTGCATGGTACATACCGTTAAGGCAACCATGCCGGAGACAACACCGATGCGGAAGCCCTTAAGAAGGTAATCGCCGGAAAAGTATATAAGACTCAAAGAAGAAGGGTTTAGGCCCTTGTCAAGATGTTTCACCTAAAAGAACCGAATTAAGACAGCAAAAATTAGGGTAACTTAAAACGCAAGTAACTTTAGGTTTTGTTGAATAGTAAGGACAAACATAGCAATTTAGGTTATGTGCTTACGATTTGAACTCCTTTCTTGTCGGCTCGGGTAATGTATACGAAGAAGGTTGAAATGATGACAGATAGTAACGGCGCGACCGCCGGAATCCAAAACAGTTTCTTCTTCTTTTTCCCCTGTTTATACCAAGAGATGAGATCAGAAAAAGAGAACAGAAAACTGATGAGAGATTGCAGTTGATGGTTCGATGACTTACGATGAACTTAGAGAGGAGAAGGAAGATCAAGAACGATGCACTAATGAGTATTGTCTGCCAGTTCCACTGCAAGAATATGATGACCATACGGTGAGGTTACATAATAGAAATAACCTAAACTAATTAAAAACATTGTGATTTTGAGTTATTCTTACTCCGTGATGAGCTGAGCTGAATACGGAGCGAAGAACGGCGATGATATCGGTTTTCTTGGTGAATTTTTTTATTCCAAGGAATCCTTTAAGCTGTTGAAGAGCTATGGTGATGGCTGCTCCTCCCATGAAGCCTACGACCGCCGCGTGGGATAAGAAATCGATCAAGAAACCCAATCTGAACAAATAAAGTTTAGAAGTTTTTAGGTCAAGAAGAAGAAGAATCTCTAACTAAACTTAGGAGCATTGTTGAA